AGGGGAGGGGAGGACATCTGTAATATTTTCAACAATAAGATAAATTTTAAAATAAAAATAAAAATAGCTCAGCTGGGAGTGGCTCAGCAGTTGAGCATCAACCTAGGATCCAGGCGATCGGGGTTCGAGTCCCGGTCAGGGCACATGCCCAGTTGGGGGCCTGCAAGAGGCAGCGAATCAGTGACTCCCTCATCACTGATGTTTCTATCTCTCTCTCCCTCTCCTTTTCTCTCTTTGAAATCAATAAAGATATATTTTTAAAATAAATAAATAAATTAATTAATTAAATAAATAAATAAATAAATGGTTAAGATGGTAAATTTATGTTATGTGGTTTTACCACCATTTTTTAAAAAGTGGTTACATTTTAAAAATTGGTTACATTTCTATACATCAGAAATAACTGATTGGAAAGTAAAAGCTACAAAATGTCTAAGAATTAACTGAACATACATAGGACCTCTATGAAAAAGTGTATTTTTTAAAGCATAATAAAGAGTAAACAAGATGATTTGAATAAATGGGGAAATAGCCGCTGCTCTTACATGAGGTAACTTAATGTTAAAAAGAAATCAATTACCCCCAAATGGCTCTATAAAGTCAATATAATATCAATCAAAATTCAAGTTTAATTTTGAGAAACTCAGTAAACTTACTGTAAAGTATATGAATAAATAAAGATCCACAAAGAGACAGACAAGCCTTGGGGGTGGGGAGACCAGAAATGAGCGTCCTCCCAGGGCCCAGCAGGAAGCGGCAAACTTGGTCTTCTCTTGCTACTGAGGCCTCGTCCAAGGCCAAAGGAAGCCCAAGTTTTGTAACCTTCCCCCGAACCCTGGCTCCTTCCCTTCATATTGCAAATGTGCCAACTGTCTTCCCCCTATCCTCCCGGATCCACACTCCTCCATCCAGGTGACTGCAGGTGCTGGCCTGTAGGACTTCACAGGCTTGCAAGCTCCTTGCTTTCGGCCTTGCCCCGAAAGCCTAGGGAGGAGGGCAAGGTCAGGGTTTTTGTTCCCTTGGCTCCCTCCCTGCAAGGTCACCTTGGTTGGCTGTGTCCCTTGACTGACAAGGTGGTGACTCTATAGAGCTTGCTGTCCTGAGCTGACAGCCCCTCTAGTCCCCTGTCTCTTCAGGCCTTGGGGTGGTGAGAGCCCAGCTACTGCGAGCCAGGTCACTGTACCATCCTTCGCCCCCTTCTCTGTAAACACTTCCTTGTAAACAGACTCTCCTGGAGCTATCCTACTTGGAGTGTGCCCTGTTTTCTGTTGGGCCCTGATACAGTGAAAGCCATTTGTTTCTTTATTTGCTTTCCCAGACCAGTCTGGCTAGGGGCCCTTGGAAGCCTCACATGCAATGGAAAAGTGGGAGAGAGGGGGCTGGGAGAGCCTGCAGTGCCTGTCTGGGAGTAATCTCTGTGGGTTCGGGGCCTCTCCACTCTCTGCAGCCCCTGGGGACTGGTCTGGCCAACGGTGGCAGGGAGTACCAAGGAGGAGTCCCCTGGGCCCTGCTTTAAGGCCGTGGGAGGGCTCTTGGGAATGGCAGGCACTCCCTGCAAAACCAAAGTGGGGACAGGGTTGGATTCCACCTTCATCTGTCATCCGATTTCCCCAATTTTACTTTGCAAACAGAATTACTTGAGATGATCTAATATAATTTTCCTAAATAAACATTGAGATTAAATACTAATCCTGGTCTGTTCCTTTCACACATGCGTGTGCAGGAGGAAGGAAACAGAGAGAACCTGGGACACAGGAAACAACGCTCAGGATACACCCCCACCCTACCTCACCCCACTGCTGTATATTTGGATTTATTCCCACTGGCTTTAATGGTCAAAAGAAAACCCTCAGACTTGAATTCAACACATTTCCCTAAAGTAGTGGCACTGCCCAGAGGGCTGAAGCTCTCCCTGCAGCGCGGGAGCCCTCTAGGCGCAGCCAGCTCTTTCCCGGTGGAGAGCAGGGCTACATGCCTTCGATTCCCGCTCCAAGTTCAGCTTCTAAAACAAAACACTGAAGGGAGAGAATCGTTTGTTGTGCCACTTGGATTAGATGGCCCAAAACCCACTGTCTCTCTCCCTCTCTCTCCGTCTCTCTGTCTCTCTCTCTCTCTGTCTCTCTCTCTCTCTGTCTCTCTGTCTCTGTCTCTCTGTCTCTCTCTCTGTCTCTCTCTCTCTCTGTCTCTCTCTCTCTCTGTCTCTCTGTCTCTGTCTCTGTCTCTCTGTCTCTCTCTCTGTCTCTGTCTCTGTCTCTCTCTCCCTCTCTCTCTCTCACACACACACACACACACACACACACACACACACACACACACACGGCAGTCTCGCATTCCGCTGTGTTCTGCGTCTCCCCCCTGACTCGCCCGCCCTCCACCTCGCGGCGGGCGCCGGGCGCTCCCTGGGCAAGGACACGCACACCCCCCCTTCTCTCCCCCTGGAACCTGGCGACCGGATCCCAGGAGATCTACATGCACTTTTCCTGCTCCCCATGTGGACGGAAAGAGCCTCCCCTATAAAACAAAACCTCAAGGTCAGGCAGAGAAGCCCGCTCGGGAGCGTCCGGAGGGGCCTGGACGCCGCGCAGCTGGCCGACCCCCCTCCTTCCCCTGGGGTCGTCGCTCTGCTCCCCCCGCTGTGCCCAGACCCGGGCCCTGCGGACCCGCCGCGCCTTCAAAGCCGGCCCGGCACAGGCAAGACCCAAAGCCCCGCCCCGGACCAGACTAGAGTTTCAGGTGGAATTTGCTTTGTCAAACAAACAAAAACAAGAACAGTGGGTGGAAAACTGAAAACGGAACAACACAAGGTCCGAACAGGAAGCTATTACAGAAAACACAGTCAAGTCGAGGCGGCGGATTTGCATGACGCCCAAGCTAATTAAGTGAGCCATATCAAAACTTTAAATGAAACCTAAAACTGACAGCGCGTGGAGATCAGCTTGGGAGCCTACGTTTGGCGAGGGGCGCACCGTCCCCGCCCGCCCCGGGCCGCGCTCCGAGGGACCCGTTTGGAATCCGTGCGCTCGCGCCTCCCCCTGGCCTCCCCGCCGCCCGGCGGGAGCGATGCCCGACCGCAGGGGTCCTTCGGGGAAACCTCGGGTGTGCCGGCGGTCGGCGCACGGGCCGGCAAACCCTGAGCGCCTGCTCCCGACGTCGAGGCTGCAGGAGCGAGGCCGCGCCCGCCCCCAGCCAGGCCCCTCGGCACAGAGGCTGTCCGAGGACGCGGCGCCTGGGCGCCCACCCTGCACCCACCCAGCCACGGGCCGCAGCACGCAGGACGGTTCCGCGGCCTCCTGCCCCTGCCCCATCCTGATTCTGGCCGCGTGCGCTCGCGTCCCGACGCCCGCACAGGGCGCCTCCTTAGCCCTGGCCCTCCTTCCGCCGTCCTCTGCGGGGCTGAGCCAGCTCCTCGAGGACTTCTCTTCCTTTCTGGTTTCTTCTCTTCGCCTGAAGTCCAGCGTCTATCTCTAATTCCAAACCCAGCTGCGCAGCCCTGCTCTCTGGGCGCAGCCGGCCTCGCGGTCCCTGGACACGAACAGCACCCGGCTTCTGCTGTTTGAAACCCAGCCCCCAGCAGTGGTCGCCCCTGGGGTTTGGGGCAGGAGGGAGCGGGGGGCTGGCTCTGGAGGGCCCTGTGCTCCAGCACCAGGGCCCCCAATACAGCAGTCTAGTTACTGCGCTCAGGGAGGCAAGCATGCTGTCAAGAACGTGCTCTGGGCCTTGCGGGGCAGCGCCAGGGCTGCGGGCCCACCCCCGGCGGGGCGCGTACAGGAAGCAACGGGCGAGCGCACCGGCAGGTGGAACAGCGCATCGGCGGCGCGCTCCCTCGCTCTCTCCCAAGTCAATTTAAAATTTTTTAATTTCCTCTCTGACCTTAGACAGGTTGGTTAACCTCTCTGAACCTCATTTTCTTCATGCGTGACGCAGGGAGGCCGTCTGTTCCTGTGGGGTTATGGGGAGGGACAAACACGAAGCCCCCGGCCCGGCGCAAGGTCGTGATGGGCACTAAGCTACTTCCCTTCCCCACTCGGGGTTCCCAAGAAGCAGCCGCCCAGAGCTCGGGTGAGGTTCGGCCTCGCCCCCGAGTCCTGACTGTCCGAGGGCCTGGCAGGGTTGTGGCGAAGGTCGAATGAAATGGCGCGTGTGAGGCACCTGGCGCAATGCCTGGCCCAGAAAGCTGAGCGACTGAGCATAGCTAACGCCCTACTGTGCGCCCGCTTGGTGCCGCGCAGTGTTTTTAGCCAATTACAAGACTGAGCTCGTTTAATCCTGGTAAGATCCTTTATGAAGTAAAATGGCTGTTAGTCCCTCCCTCTACCTTACTCCGTGACTCCCTCCCACCACAGTTCAATTCCTTCTTATAAATTATCAATTTAAAAACTGCCCCGAATTCTGTCTCTCTAGGTGGAGAAATGGGAGAGGACTCCTCCCCCAGTAGGGGAGCATCAGCCCCAGCCCCCCACTCCCCGCAGGCCCGCCCAGCGCCTCAGGGAAAGGCGGGGAAAGCAGCCCTTCCACCAGCGTCTATTCCTCAGGGACAGGCCAGCCGCTCCCTGCCCTCGGTGTCAGGCAGGGCCCTCAGGGGCCTCCCTCCCCGGGTTAGATCCACCGCAGAAGTACAGCCTTGGGCAATGGCTTGATTACAGAATATGCCCGGAAATGAGGTCCTCCACGTTGCTAAGGTTTACTAGGGAGGAGACTGGGAAACCCAAAGCGCTGGATGGAGAAACCCTGGGATCCCAGACGAAGTGGACGGTTTGAGGACGTCGGGGGGCGCAGGGCACCACTGAGGGACTGAATGCCCTTCTCCTCTGGTGTGGGAGCTGCAGAATCCCTCCTCTAGGAGATGTGCCGACCTGCAGGAGAAATCAAAAGGAGATAATAAGGCTTCAAACCGTCACCCCATCGTTGGTCCCTCTAACTATCATGCCAGAGCCCTTAATACAGTGATATTAAAAATTCCCAGGCCCCCTCCAGCCTCCTCCCCGTGGACACTCCACTGGGTGGGAGAGTGGGGGAGGCTCTCCTCTTTCCTGCTCCTAATCCCGCAATGGCGGCTTAAGTCAAGCTCTTGACCTGACCCTGGTAGAAGCTCACCCCTCCACAAAGCACCATTAGCTGAACCCAACGCTGAGCCCTCAGGCATCACCCCTTCCGAAGGACCAGTAGGCAAACAGACAAACACAGATGTTACCTTCTGGATAATTGGACCCTGGGAGGGAAGTATAGCCTAGGAAAGGAAAATATTTGATTAGAGGAAGTCTCTGTGGATAAAAGTATCTGGCATTGTCCCCAGCAAACTAGGCCGCGCTGGGAGAAGCACTGGGGGGG